CAACTGTCAGTGAAATATTCAAAACAAAGAACACACAAATGAAAACAAATATAGAGAACAATCTCAACAAATATTTACTCAGCTGAATAATAATGGCTTTAGCTGGGTATTTAAAAATTAAAACAGCTTTTCAAGGCTGGTTTCACTCTCTGTACTTTTGCCAAGAAGAGTTAATTGTCTGCTTCTGTTCTCCAAATTATAGGAGGCCTACCAGATTGAACCCCATAGATGTGCTCATTCAAGTATTCACCCTTACAATTGATTGTCAGATTTAGTACCCACCCGACCTCTCATGCACTTAGTGAAAGTCTCTCAACCCATCATTGGATTCAAGAGGCAGAATGGAATGGAAACGCAAGTCAGGGATATTGTGCAGACTGGGGAAAATGTAATGGCCCCCATTTTCCACTATCCCCCAGTCCTTCCACAGAGGATGATATTTATTGCAGGGACTTCCCTCCTCCCTTGTCCTTGTTCACTTCTACTGACATCTGCCAGGTTTGATTGATGGAGGACCCTGGACAAACTGCCCTCCCAAGTTTCTATAGAGATAATTGCCTCCCATTCCCTACTAGTTGGCAGGCAGGCCTTCTTCTGATGGCGGTATGTGTTGAGTGAAGCTGCCATTCCTCCAGCCCTCCCTGTCCTTGGCAAAACGATCATCTGAATGACGCCATTTCTGGCTCCATGCTGCACAGGCCAGGGGAGGGCGTGCCCTATGACAGGGGGCAGCCCTATGTTTGAAAGGTTGTCAGGGTACAGGCCGCCTGCGCCAGTCCCCACCATAGCACTTGTGGTGACTGTAACAGGGCCTACTCAGTCCCTCAGAGTGGGCCTCCAGAGATCCAGGTTTTAGTCCCCACACACCTGTAAAGCTCAGTGGGTGACCTTTGGCTAGTCACAGACCCTCACTCGAACCCACCGCACAGCACCATTGCTGCAAGAATAAAATGCAGGGAACTTCTTCAGGTTCCTTGCAATAGGAAGGCAGGATAAAAATGCAACGTAATACTCAGAATAAAACACACGCTGGTAACAGATATAGCAAAACAAGGCCTGCATAGTGAGGCGCATCAGCCAGCCCGCCCACCCTCTGGAGCAAGTGCTGTCGCTGCAGCTAAACAGGAGCCTCCCGGAAGGATTTCGTGTTTTGTTTTTTTCCCGGCGGAGGGAGAACAGGAAACTTCCTTGTTAAGTCCATGCACCTTGGCGCCCTTTGCCCACGGGGTGGCAGTGCTGCTCTTTCTTGTAATGCTCTGGTCGTCCCCAAACAAGGGAAGCCTGCCAGGTGCGCTGGCTTGCGCCCTCTTCCGCGAAGCCGAAAGCAAGCGGACAGGTACACTTGGCTCAACCGGCCCTGGCCAAGGTGGGCGACTGCCGCTCGCCAAACGCAAAGCCACGCGTTCCCCACCCGCAACTCCAGCCGGTCGCATCCCGCCTTTCCCTGCACGGGCAGCAGGAGGCGAGCGCGGACCGAAGGAAAGGCGGTGAATCCGAGGAGCGGAGGGCGGATGCGGCGATGGGGGAGTGGCCTCTGTCCCTCGCGCACGCGTTGGAAAGAAAACACGGTATGTGGGGAGAGGGAGGACAGAGGCCGGGTGGGCAACTCGCTCCCTAGGCCCACGGCGACAAAGAGAGGGGAGAGGAGCATTTTCGGGGCTCAGGGAAGGCAAGTGGAAGCCGGGCGAGCCCCAGAAAGATTCTCCTCCCGCCCTGCGCAGGAGCGCCCGGCCCGTGACAGCCTTGTCGCGATGCGTGCCTGGGCCGGACTGGCTGGCCGGGGCGAGGGCCTGAACGTGCCAAGCCCGCGCGCGCGCGCGCTCCTCCTCGCCGCGGGGCTCTGTCGCTCCCTTCCCCAACCTGGAGCCTTTCAGCTCTCTTGGACCCCGGCCCCGCATTCCTGACCGTTGGCCTTGCTGCCCGAGGCTGACGCGAGTTAACGTCCAAAATGTTCGCAGGGCACCCTGTTGGAGAAGAGCGTTCTAATTTGGGGAGGGATGGGACCAGTTCCAAGTTGGCTTCTGTGAACGGCTGAAGGGGAGGATGCAGTTATCCTCATTTCCTGCGTGTGGGTTTCCCACTGGGGCAGCTTATGGCGAGAATGCTGGACTAGATGGAGCTTGGTCTGACTGGCTGGTTGGCCTTGTGCGGGAGGACTTTTTGCATGCCAAAGGATGGCGTTACCTTTTAGGTGGCATGCTAGAAATATAACTAGCAAGGTTAGAAGGAGACTTTAAAAACCAAACAGAGAGGTTCTGGTGTGCACAAGCATGCTTAGAAGGAAGCTGGAGAGAGCATGAGAGAGAGAGAGGTGATTTAGGTGCTATCTGTGCAGCTGCTTCCGTATGAAGCAAAACTTTTCTGACATACAGGATATGCAGAGTGAGGTGCAGGTTTTGCACCAAGTGTAATCTATAGGATTTATAGAATCATGGAATAATAGAGTTGGAAGGGGCCATGAAGGCCATCAGGTCCAACCCCCTGCTGTTGCAGGACACCAGTTTACACCATCCCACTCAGATGGCTGCCCAGTTTCTTTTTAAATTTCTCTAGAGTGGGAGAGCCCATGAGCTCTTTTGGCACCTGGTTCCACTATCTCATTGCGCTGTCAGTAAGGAAACGTTTCCTGATAATCTAGCCTGGACCTTGGATGTTGCAACTTGAGATGATTATTTCATGTCCTACATATCAGCAAGAAGAGATCTTGGCCTTCCTTTTTGTGACAGCCTTTGAGGTACTTACAGAGGGATATCTTGTCCCCCCTCAATCTTCTCAAGGCTAAACATGTCCAGTTATGGCCTTGCTTCTATATAAAACTACTGATTCTCAGAAGAAACGAATGTCTTCTGAAGGTCCTGAAAGATATTCATAAAAGAGGTATCTAGCCCAGATCTTCAAGGATATTGCTGATAACTTGGGGCACAAAAGTACCATGCAAAGAAAGTGAGAATGAGCACCTTAATGTTCACTCCACACACAATAAACTTTTATGCTGAGACCATTCACTGCAAGTGGGATTAGTGGACAATATTGCCACTCTTCTAAGCAAACAAAACCATGATTGTAGCAGGTCATGGTCTGGGATGAATGCTATTTACATGTTTAATATGGCTTGTAAGGATTGTGTTGATTGTGTGGTGTAAAAAGTTACATATAACCTGAAGCATCTGGACACTCTGACAGGGAGGCTGAGGGACAGGCCAAACATCAGCATCCAACATATCAGAGCTGACATTTGTCTGGGTCTCTGTCACTGGATTCAGCCGCCTCTTGGCCACTGCTGTGGATATCACTGGCTTTGGTTGTGCTCAGGCAACTAACCCCTGGGGACACTTTCCTGGTGCTGTTGGTCCTGCTATAATTAGCAGCACCTGATAACCGCCATATTTTACTTCCCATGGTGCTGTGGGAAACAAAACCATGGCAGGCAACAATCAAGTGGAGGAATTTGTGGTTATGGCATGTGCAGAAAAGTACCATGGGAATTCCTGTTGCCAGTTCAGCTTCCATGCAGTTGGAGTTGTGGGAGAAGGGAATATGGGGGCAGATGCCTCTTGGGACATGGGGTTAGGTATGCCAGTTAAAGAGTGTAACAGAGAATAGGGTGTCATGGAACAGACAGAAAAGGAGAACAGTTGTTGAGGAATTGTGAGAACTGAGTGTTGGTTTGCCCTGTGGCTGCTGAATACTGCTGTCATCTTGTGGCAAACTGTTTCAAGACTTAGGCCGGTTGTGCAGATTGAACAAGTTTAACTGTGCCTCACTGTGCAAAAAACCTCATGCTTTCGCCATAGCATGGAGAACAATCTTAAGTTTTCCTGGATGAGAAACAGGAAGATGATTGTGCTGATCCTTCTGTTGCAGATTAAGTGAATTAGGGTGTCAACAATTTCTCCACGCAGCACAGATTTGGGCTCCAAGCCACCATGACTACTGTGGCCTATTTCTCTGGAGAATCTGCTTCACTAACAGTTCAGTTTAAAACTTAGGTTAACACAGCAGAGAAAAAATATGTAATGCATTACAGAAATAAAACTGGACAAATTAAATAGAGATCAGGGAGAATGGCTAATGATTTGGAACTGGGGTGTCCAACCTTTTGGCTCCTCTGGGCCACATTGGAAGAAAAAAAATGGTCTTGGGCCACACATTAAATGCACAACACTAACAAAAGCTGTTAAGCAAAAAAAAAAAAAGTCTGTGCATAATTTCTGTGATATCCGCCACCACAGATAAGCAAAAACGACCTTACATAATCTTAATTATGTGGTGCCCCGTTTGGAGAGTTTTTTAAAATCATCGAGCAAGGCCCAAGTTTGTGATCACTAATAGAGGAAATGAACATAGCTAAGTAATAAACTTCATTGATTTTTTATTTTTTATTGTAAATGAAAAGAGGACAACATAAAACTAGTGGGATATTTGACATTGTATTAGAGAAACTAATGGATCAATATCTGGTTCAATGGAAGTAGTTGCAATTCTCAGTGCATTCTTGAAAATAGTTGCTCACAAATGTAGGTGCTTCCAAAAAGCGAAGACATGAATAAGGCATGATTGTGAAGCAAGGGATATTTGTCACTGGGACGATGGGACCTATAAAAGTCCATGATCAATTTTTTCTTTAAGTTGAATATCAGATTGCAGCTGTATGCATTCCACTTGAAAATTGGCAGGTAACATATTTATGTCAACTGAAAATGGAGTCTCAAATATACCAAAATAGTGCTTATTTCCCCAGAAATCTTGAAATCTTCAAATTCTTGTATCAATATGAAAAGCAAGGCTGCATATTTTTTGCTGTCCACAGGACTGTGTTTAGCCAGTGTGTCAAAATGTATAAAATTGTTTGCAACAGTAGGTTGAAAGATTATTGATAATAGCTGTGTTTCGCTTACCAAGTCACCATGAGCACATGTAACCTCTGATGGTGTAAATTTGACTGTCTGCACTTGGAAGATAACACACGGGAAGCTGCAGACTGCCATAAGACTGAAGCTACACATGTACAAATAGTGAGAGCATAGATACATTTCTTTTACGTGACGCTGCAACATGACATTGTCGTCTACAAAGTACACACTGGAGAACTGTGGGATCAAGTTACCAAAATAAAATCGCAAATCTCATGTTTTAAGTAAGTTTGTGATTTTGTGTTGGGCTGCATTCATAGCCCTTCTTGGCCACATGTTGTGAACTTAATATCCCTAGGAATGTAATGTTTCACTTCCTGCGCAGTCACAAGGACATTTCCTAATCTTTCCCCCCACCTTCCTTTTTTCTGTTAAGGGAGATTGTGTTGTGTTCACATCAATAACTTGCTTTTCTTTCCAGACTTTTCATCATGAGTGTGGACTGGATTGGCTTTGGTTATGCTGCCACTGTGGCTCTTGGAGGTGTCATAGGATATATCCGCAAAGGTAAATAAATCATTTCTACTGCTTCTTGTGTGATACTATAGACCATTGTGGGCTGATTTACTCATGAGGAGTTGCCACACTTACCAGCAGGCATGATAAGTATGCATGCCCTTTCATAACCCTAGAACAGACCATGAGTTGTGCAAACGTTGTTTAATGCTTGAATAATGCTTGCCACCAGGTTCAGGTGGCACAAGCCAAGCCACTCTCCCCAGTCAGTGCTTACATATTCATAAGGACAGACAGCACACACTTCTCATTAAGCTACTGCGGTACTAGAACCAAGTTCCTATTATTTCTTACAATGGTTAGCAATTTCACCTTCCTCTAAAAAATTGACCAGAGGAGGTGAGTTCCCTCCCTCAGTGCCATTGTCATACAATGTTCACCTTAAGTTTATATTTCGGAAGACTGACTAAGAGATTAAACAACTAGATTTACTATTCATGTAAATTCAGACAGTTAAACATTTGGGTTATTTATGGAATCCACTGTTGCCAGTTTTTGAGATTCTGCTGTACATTATGTATACTGGAGCAGAACTCAGAATACTGGATTATATTAGTATTTCAGAGATTCATTTCTAGAATTTTGCATGCCTGTTCCTTCTTTTTCATTCCCTTTGGAGTAAAAACACATTTATTAAAATAATGAATTTCAAAATTTAAATTAAAAAAATGATTTTTTTCTCCAAAAGACACTCCATCATTTACTTTTAATCTTATTTGTGCAATTGCATGATATTTTTAAAAAATTAAATTTCAGGTGGTATCCAATTAACCTGCTGTCAAAGCAGCTTTTGTCAATAGAACAGGATCAGTTGTAGAGGGGGCTAAGCACTTAATGGAGGAGGAGAGCGTTTTTGTTATTATGTGCTTTGCCTCTGAATTATGGCAGTCCTGTGAACATATGCCTTCGAAAATATCCTGCCTTTGACTGCCCTACTCAGCAATTCTAAATGAGGGAGTCCTAGTGTTTGTGTGTGTGTGTGTGTGTGTGTGTGTGTGTGTGTGTGTGTGTGTTAAGAATGGTCTGTGTTGAAACATATTTTAAATTCCTCCCTCCTGCCCATATGGAGTCCACGCACATAAACCTCTACTGACAATTTGAAATCTCTTAAGTGCTGCCAGAATTCAAGCACAGAGGCAGTGGTCAGGATCCAAAAGCTCAGGAGATTCTGGGCAATCCAGAGCTACTCTCCACAGCAAGTGTCATGCTGCAACTCCTTGAGTGTCACCCCTGAAGAAGCATTCTCCAGTGTTTCATCCTGACTAAGCATTGATGATGCACTAGCAGATGGGGAGAGCTGAATTCACAATAGGAAATCTAAAGAACCTTTGTGTGTGCAGAGTGAAACTGTCTGGGTCCAGGCCAGTATCAGCAGATGCTTTCTCTCAGTGTAAATTTGCTTGTGGGTGGCTACTTGATATGTATAGAACAGGGAGAAAAACACTTGTGTCTTTGCATCAGATTATGTTGTCCACATTATTGCTAGACTTCTCTTATTAAAAACTGTTTTGAATTAATACCTAAAGAAATGCAAACATTTTCAGGTTCTAAAAGAATAGCATTTTTTTAAAAAAGGAAAAGAATTGTTTTCTTTTAATATAACACTTTTTCTATTTATTTATTCATTTATTTCGTTTTTATTCCACCCAATATGTGATGTATTACAGGCAGTAAAATCTCCTTGATCGCTGGACTTTTCTTTGGCTTGATGGCGGGTTATGGTGCCTACTGGGTAACACATAATCCCAGAGATGTAAAGGTATCATTATGTAAGTACCCAGGTTTATGGAAAGAAAGTATGCTGTAAATTAGTACAACAGAATGAAATACATTTGCATTATTATGGTAAGTGCTGTGTTAAAACAACTTGTCATGAACTGAAAATAGATTGCCACATAATGGAAGTGGCATTAATTTTAAACTAAATACGTCTTAATTTTATGCAAATTTCTTTTTATTTTTATTTTTGAAAGAAATTATACAAAACATGTGCAATAAAAACAAAATTCATCGTCTGCACATAAATAAAACAATGCAAATAATAAAATTGATCCTGATGATGATAATAATTGAATAACAACAATTCTACTTTCCACCAGGTCCAACAGATACATAATAGTTAGTATAAACTCATTATTCATCCAAGTAGCCTCCTCTTCCAAAACTGCATTGGGTCTTGTAATGGTACACAAACCTTTCCCTTTACTAAAACATATTCAACAATTAGTCTCCAAATAGCTTCAAAATTATTTTTTACTTATCAAGCCTTTTTTTAACCTAACATCACAAGTTAGCTGATTGTTAATAGCTATATTCCAGACTTCTTTGTACCACTAATTTATCTGATAGTCACATTTTACTTTCCAGTTTCATGCTATTATTACTCTCACTGCTGTTACCAAATTTGTCATCAAATGTTTAATATTGTGTCCCCCTTGTTCCCTAAAGAATGACAGTAATGCTAGTCCAGGGTCTACTACAATGTTTAAATTCACTATTTTACTAATTTCTTTGAAAACCATTTTCCAAAACATTTATATATTTACACTCCTTCCATATATGGAAATATGTACCCACTTCCTGGTTACATCTCCAATATATAGAGCCAGTGTGGTGTAGTGGTTAAGAGCATGGGACTGGAACTCAGACGATCTGGGTTCTAGTCCCTGCTCAGCCATGGAGCCAACTGGGCGACTTTGGGCCAGTCACAGACTCTCAGCCAACCTACCTCACAGGGTTGTTGTTGTGGGGATAAGATGGAGGAGGAGAATGATTTAAGCTGCCTTGAGCCCTTTGTAGGAAAAAGGCAGGATATAAATTGGAAAATAAATAAATAAAAATATATTTATGTATTTATCATTCATGTAATTCAATTTTACCAGTGTTAGGTACCATTTCCAAAGTAATTCATTGAAGTTTTCTTTAATTCTTATCAACATACATTTTAAAATTCTCTTATTCCACATATTCCACAATTTTTCATTACTAATATCTCCTCTTAAATCTGTTTCCCAAGACTATTTTTAAGAGGATTGTATTGGTCGTCCACTTCTACTAGTATGTTATAAATTTTACTTGTCATTCCTCTCATCCACATATTATCTTGGTTTTTTCCTATGGAGTCATATCTTCAAATTTAGAGTATTGTCCAAATATACCATTTTTCTTCAACCAGTCTTTAATCCATTGATCTAACTGAAGTATATTGTACCAAGTTAAATTTCCCTCTCCCTAGTATTGCCTGCATCTTTTCTCTACTATTTTCTTTTTCTAGCCAATCTTTCAATTTAATATTTTTTTGTTCTTCAATATTTTGTCCAAACTACTGCTTGGATTTTTCTGGAAATCCTTTTAATTCTGTAATTGGATAATATTGGTGAAATTGATGGCACAAGTATTTTTCTATATTTATTCCAAATTTAGGCCACATTCTTAAAAGAGGAGTTTTCTATCTTTTTAATAATATTTTTATTATCCTGTTGAAGGAAAATATTTAATAAGGATCCCTCAACATATTGAAATTCACGTGAAACATGAGATTCTAGTTTACACCATATTAATTGCATTGGGCTGTAATAGGGCTGATTTGCTATATAATAAGGCTGCGCATTAGGAATACCTAATCCTGTTTTTTGGGATTTATACCATCTTTTTTTTTTTTTTACTAATCCTTGCTTTCTCATCCCCATTGCAAAATGCATCAATCATATTTTGCCATTCTTTCAAATCTTTCTCTATTAACTTAATTAATCTCTATTAACTTAAGAGGCCCCCCTGCAAAACCTCCTCCAGCAGCCCAGTTCTCAGCCATCAGCCCACCATTAAAGCAAACAGTTTGGCTCATCTGGGGAGCCCTTGCTGAGAGTGAGCAGCCACTGCCAAAAGCTGGAATGAAGTAGGTGAGAGGGAAATAACCGGAAGCCACCAGTAGTCCTGGGGCCTTGCAGCAAGCAACAGAATATATCATAATAATTGGCAGTCTTTAAGGTGCCACAAGGGTCTTTTTTTAATACTGCAACACACATAAGGGTGTGTACTTCTAAAGTGCTTGGGATGTGAAATAAGGTGCTAACGTCTCTGAGAATATTATGCTTTGTGTTATTATTTGCATGCCTTTTTGTTTGTTTTAAGGCAGAATAGATCATATGCATAATTTTGTAAATTAAGTGTCATCCTTTTGGGGATGGGGTAAATAGACTGAAAGATAAAAATATATGACTTGGGCCTGGGTATCCAAATGAATTCCTGTTCCCGCATCAACCTACCTGTTCATGCGGTGGAGTTTGGTTGTTTTCCTCCTTGTCCAGCTGTCTGGGATGAGCTAAGTGGCAACTGGTGGGGATCGTCTGAATTCCTCCCCCAGGCACACTTACCTAAAATCTACATTGTTAATGTTTCAATTTCAAGCCAAACTTTCTTACATGCTTGTGCTACTTAAATTAAGTTTTGTCATTGTACATCACATTGATAAAATAACAAATATCTGATCGTGTTTATTTGCAGTCACAGCTTTCATTCTGACCATTGTAATGGGGGTGAGGTTTAAGAGGACCAAGAAACTATTTCCAGCTGGCATCGTAGCAGGTCTAAGGTAAAAATGTTTCCTGTTTTAGTCTGTGTTATAGGCACCCTTAACTGAGACTAAGCCCCGCTGAAAATAGTGGACCTTATATATTGTGTTGCACAGAACTTTAAGAGAATTTCTTCATGAGTCATTTACCATCTGCCTGTCCTTCTCAACTTCTCTAAATGACATCAGGACCATCCACTGTTTAACCTCTGTGTCTAGCAAGTACTCTGAGCAGCTTTTTTATTTATTTTATTTATTTATTTAAAACATTTCTATGCCGCCCTATTCGCAAAAAGCCTTGAGGCTTTTTAGAGCAGGCAAAAGGTAGCATTTAATTGTGAAAATGAAAGTGTCATCTCCTTGGGTATATTTGTGCTATTCAGCATTCCCTAGAGCTTATGTGGGGGAAAAGCAGGAAGCAATCCTCATATGATACTTGGATCTCAATTTTATCATGAAACTGAAAATTGATTTAGGGACTGATCAGCATCATGTAGAAAAGCCGCGAAAGAAAAAAGCTGAAGAAAAGCTGTCAAAGAACTGTTGGTTTTGAATCACTTTCTCATTACACAACTGGTTGTTTTCATTCATTACAGAACTGCCCTGTTGTTTTCATTCAAAAATTCTTGAACTCATCTTATGCAGTCTGTAATTCTGAAATCACAATGAAACTCTTTTTAAAAAGCCTGAAGTCACTTTCTCGTCCTTAAGATTGTAGCCTTGAGTGCTTGCTACAAGTACAAGAAAGGTGGCCTTGAGAGCATCTTCAGGAGGTTAGTGGATTTGCGAGGAAGAATGTTCAGTAGGCTTTCCAATAGAGAAGAGCCTAACAACGCGTCTTTTCCTTGCTGCCTGTAGCATGAAAAAAATCATGCAAATTAGTTGCATTGTTTATGCATGCTGCAGAATTCTGCTTTACTTGACATGAACTCAAAAGCAGGATTTCTCAGAGTGCACACAGTCCTGTGTATTGGAGTACAGAATCTTTTCATGTCTTAACCAGCAACATGTTTGGTAATTTTGGTCTCTCTCTCTCTTTTTCTGTCCACCCCTCACCCCCCCCCCCATACCTCCTTCTTGGAACACAGCCTTCTGATGGTTTTGAGACTCGTGCTGCTGCTGGTATGAGAGGTGAAAGTAACAGGAAACAACAATTGTACTATTCCATATACACAAGCAAAACTGTATTTGTACTGGAATATATCTATAGAAAGATTTAGCACTTTGTTATTGTTGATGACTACATCAAGGCTGTGCTACTTCTTGTGATTTGGGGCTAGATTCTTTAACTTAAATTCAAACATTTAAAAGATGTTTTTCTACTAAAATAGGTGATGCTTATGTTTTAAGGCAAGTTATTATCTTGACCTTTTAATAATGATGATCTTCATTTTCTGCATGGTAAGGTGCTATAAGTGATGCCTCACTCTCACATCAATAAATCAGCGTTGGGTTTGAAACTCAGGTTAATTATGTATATTGCAGCACACTTAATTTCTTGTACATGCCTGAATAATATTTTTGCAGATCATGGCATGGAATGATACAAACTTATTTTGAGTGACTCATGTAATGTTGCACTGCTGTTCACTCTCAGTGTATTAGTAAGGGATATATTAATTCCCTGCAGTACTAAAAACATATTTCTGAAATTTAGCAAACTCTTTCTTCTGTCCTGAAACTCAGGAGTTTCAAACTGCCAAAATGAAAATAAAAACAGGTTTAATATTTTGGAGGCAGAGTCAGTGGTGCAACTGTTGACATTGGAAGATTTCTGAAATACACTCTGAGTGTAATACATATGACTGAAGATTTTGTGCAGTTATGCGTTTTCTTATCAGTTATTGTCACCATTAGTTTGCAGGCTGCTTTGGCTAACCCATTTGTCCCAATGTAGGCTTTACTTCCATTAAAAAAAACCTTAGAATTCCTTTAAATCATTGCTCACTATTCAGCACAGATTCCAATCTAGCATAATTAGTCTGTAGATCAGATTGTGAGTTTCTGGAGATTTTCTGTGTTGGTTCTGACATAGTTCAGGAACTATGGCCCCTTCCAACTCTACTATTCTATGATTTTATGGAGAAAATGCCCCTTGGTTGAATTCTAAGCTCACTTATCAGAAATCGAAAGGATGTGTTTCTAAAATCCTTGTTTCACACAACAGTTCAAATTGTCAAAGGATACCAATGAATAGAATTAAAACAGGAAAGTCAGCCAGCAAGCAAGAGACATTTATTGAGTTGTTCAGGAAATTAACATTGCTAATGATAAAGTTACTACATGGCAACAAATACAGTGACTGGACCTAAAGATCATGCATGTGAGATAGAGCCTACTGTCCTTTTGAGGCTGTTTCTATGAAGAGATAGTGATCAGTATAATGTGTGTTGCTTATTGACTTTGACAATTATTCTCTTATTACTCTTCAGGTAATAAGGCTTCAGTACACCTTTTCCTACCTGGTGCCCTCCAGATCCATTTGACTGCAGGGTCAGGTGGGAGTTATAGGAGCTGTGGCCTGTGACATCTGGAAGGCATCAGGAAGGCAGAGGTTTAGGATGCTTTTACAAAAAAGCGTTGTCAATTGTTCATACTTTTGCAATTCCCAAGCCTAAGGCAATAAAACAAGGGTGTTGAATCACCTTTACCTTGAGGACCGAATTCCATTTTAGAAAATTTATCAGGGGATGGGTTGATTTCCAGTAGTGGACAGGACCAAAATAGCAAATGTTTCATTGCTCAAAGGTCCTATTTCCAGGAACTAAGCCTTAGAAGGAGCATTCCAATCCTTCAGAATGGGTGAAAATCCTGCAAAACTCAGCAAACACAATTTGGGAAGTAGCAAATGGCCAGCAGTAAAAAAGAAAGGAGGTGGGGCCAAAGAAAGGGGGCAAGATCACCTGGGGAACCCTAGGAGGCCATAGTGGGACCCCAGGTGAGCTAAATTTGTCTTGCTGGCCTGAGGTTGGACACTGCTACCAAGAAGAATAAGAATTTATATAGTTAGGCCGCAGTCTCAAGTTACTTGTGCATAAGTTTTACTGAAAGCAATAGACTTTACTTCTGAGTAAACCTATATAAGGTTGCAGTGTTACTCTTTCAGCTAGTATTGGCCTTCTAGATAGAAGCATGCATGGAGGGAGAGCACAGGTCAGGGAAAAATCTGTTGGTATTTGCAGTAATCTTCATAACTGATGTTCTCAGATGTTGAAAATTTCCCTAACCTGGGCAAGATGCTTGTCATCTAGGGGAAATTTACGCTGGCTGCCAGGCTGCAAGAATTTCTTAATGGTGGGAATGTTGCTCACTCTTGTTTTGAAGGCCTAGATTTAAAAAAATCCAAGAAATTCCTTTAAATGCAAAGACAAATATACTAACATACATCAGCAGAAGCCACCTCTCAGCCCACATAAATACATCCTATTTTATTACAGCTCCAAAGAAACGTTAAACCAGAAATCATATTAATGGATCTTGTCACAAATTATTCTTGTGCCTCTGGAAGGGAGAAGTCTCAATTCAGTCTTCCCTAAGTGTTTAAGCTTCATAAAAGAGAGTCTGCATCCAGTTCCACATAGGCTGCAAAACGTTTCTTTGAGTCTGTGCCCATCATCCTGGACCAGTAAGGCTGGCCTAACAGATGATGACTCATACAGCCTTTTTATACCATAGAAACTGCACATCTTTGTGGTTACACATCACTCTTTAGAAAACAGTATTCTCAGCTAAAATGCATTTTGATTCACATGGTGTGTGTGAATGTAGGAAGCTGCCTTGTATTATACCAACTTGGACTATTTGTCAGTCAGTCCCACAACTGTTTCCTTTGACCAACAGTGGGTCTTTAGAGGTGCTTCTGGATGGACAACTCTGAGTACTACTAGTCCAAAGGCGCCATGCAGCTGTTTGCTCCATGGGGCCCAGTCCTGTGCTTGTTCAGACAGAAAGAAGTCCCACTGCATGGCCAGCTGGGGAATGCTGAAAGTCATAGGATTCTCTGCTGGGTTTTTTGTGGTAGGAAAGAGGATAGAACTGGTGGGAAATGTGGGAAGCTTGCAAATGGAAGATGGTAGCATGTATTTCCCTACATTATAATAATACTGTGTAACATTTGTACTGCCCAATAGCTGAAGATCTCTGGGCAGCTTACAACAACACATATATGCAGCATAAAATAATCTGATTTTCTACAGTGCATAATCCCCTTTTAGGTGAAGGACACTTTTTAAAAATCAGCAATCCAGTTGCTGCAATTGCGGTCTGCAAACACACAATCTTCCATACACTAATGTAGCTTGACCTGACCTATAGTCCACTCACCTGCAGCAGAGGGAATTTAGAGAGGATATCAGGCTTAATCTCTTCCACCATTAGAATAGCTTCAAGCAGATGAATGTCTGCAAAACTCATTATGTTACCGACAAGGAAGTCTTGTCCATGGTCTTGTAAAACCTGCATTGTATAAAGAAATCACTGCTGAGGATAGGTACTAAGTCAAGGGAGGATTATTCCTGTTTCTTTGAGTAAAATAGAAAGGCAGGGTCAAGCCACTTGATTTTTTTCATTCAGGTGTAAATTGTGCACACTTCCATCTGTTGTGGCAGAGAAGCCCCCTCAGATGCTTTTAAAATGTGTGATAGCCTGCACAGGAGCCCTTTAACTTTTGAGTATGGCCATGTGGTTTCGGTGCAGACCAGTGTGGTATAGTGGTTAGAGAGTGACTTTGGACCAGTCACATGCTATCAGCCTACCCAAACTCACAGGGTTGTTGTGAAGATAAAGTAGAGAAGAAATAGAATTCCATCAGCTGCCTCAAATTTGGGATGTCATGGAAGGTGTTGCGAGTCGGTCCCTTCCCTCCTTTTCTCTGGTCCCCAAATTCAAGACAATCCTTTGAAATGCAGTTCTTTTACTAGAACTCCACACTTTCACTCGGAATAACATTTTACCAGAGCTGGAAGGAGAAGCCTCTGCCCATGGAAAAAGTCGAATCCAAACTGGAAACCTTTCAGTTCCTCTCTCTCTCAGTAAAGCTGCTGGATTCACTCTCAGGGAAACTCTTGACAGAGCCCCTCCAGCCGAGTAGCCCATCTCCCCTGACACCTCCAAATGGGGTCAAGGACTGGGTCCCACATCTGCTCCTGCCCCCCTCCCAAAACCCTTCTGCCTCTTCCTAAACATATAGATTCTCTCCCTCAGTTGTGGGGAAATCTACTGAGCAACGTTGAAGGCGCTTCAGAGGGGTTCAGCCCATGAGTTCCTGCTCCTCCTCCTCCTCCTGCTCCAGTTCAGAACCTGACGATGACTCCCACTGCACAGCCTGCAGTAAGCAAGAGTCTGGCCCACTGGCTCTGCAGAAGGGCAGCGAATGGCTACCAGCTCAAATGAGGACTGTTCTCATTTACTGCCAGGAAAGAGAAGAGGTCTTTGCAGAATATTCTGCCTCAGGGTCCAAAATAACTAGACCAGCCTTGTGTTTGTGGGTGTTTGCGGCAAAATATCTTTAAGAAGGCACCTTATGGGGAATTGGCAGTATTGGCACCTAGGCAGTATTGTCAACACCAACTGGCAGCAGCTGCCCAGGATTCAGCCAGGGTTCCTTCCTTAGTTCTACGCAGAAATGCCAGCGGTTGAACCCATGACTTCTGCATGCAGAGCAAGATCGCTGTGCTGAACTAAGGGCCCACTCCAGGGTCTCTCATATCTATATGTTAAAATCCATTCCATGGTGGCTTCCCCACTTTACTCAGTTTAATCCGAGATGTTTCACTGACTCTTCACTCACCCTTTCATACACTGGGAAGTATCTGGTTGTGGCTTTCTCAATGATCAGGAGAATCTTTGCCTGCTCATCAGGGGGATGCAAAGCGAGAGCCATAAACATCCCCATCAGATCGGTGGTTCCTTCCACATACATGTCAATCCTGAAAGAGGCCATGATCACAGTTACTTCCCGTTTTTGTTGCAATCCTTCCATTCATTTTTCTTGTTATTTTAAATTGTTTTCTTACAGTTAATTATAATAAAAGAAAATAATGTGTTTTACTTAAGTGAACCGATAAGCAATAAAAAAATCTTAGGGATACACACCCATCTTGCTTACATTCAATTTAGGGACACTTTGCATGCAAAAGTATGTAATTATTCTGATATTTTATTTATTGTAGTGGGAAGCAGTTTTGGGAGGGATGCAGGAGCTCCACTTCGAGCAAAGGCAGCAGCGCAAAATAGTTTAAATCACTCCCTCAAGCCCCCTTCTTTCTCCCATGCTCAAAATCTCTCTCTCCCAAGGTTGCTTTGCATTGCTAAAGTTTAGGTTTCGTTATGTGCACGTGTAATTGGCCCCGGAAGCAATTGTTTTTCTACCATGCTTTTGGGTTCACATGGCATGACAACCTATTGTGGATTGCTACCCACAACATGGGCTGCCATGTTGTGTGAACCTGGGCCAGTTCCCCCAGAATGGCCTGTTTGTGAGCAACGAGCCACCATAACAACCCATGGACTGTTCTGCACATGACAGGTTGTCATGTGGCCTGAGCGCAGCAGGCTGATCCCATCACAGGTACAGGGAATCGACTGCTGAGCCTCTTGGCACAAGGGGCAAAAGACTCTTGCCACTCTTGGCAGTCAGCTGACGGGCATTTAAGGATAGCTGGCACTGGCTCTCCCCCTCCTAATTCTTTCTCTCTGAAGGGACCCAGAATTTGACAGGCAGACATCAAACTGCCTTTTTCCAAGATAAAGGGGAGCTGCACTTTTGCAATTTCCCAGGAATCTAAATGCTCTGGACAAAGTGCAAGGTCCACTGTGTGGACAGATAATTATCCAATAGCTTCTCTGAGGGGCTGTTAGTAACTGTCAAAATGGGGGTTGTGAAAGTTGGCTTAGTTGCCAAGCCAACTTAGAGGGACTTGCAAACTTAATTGTTTTTGTTTACTTCGCTCTTGTGTCACAATATAAATATTTTGCAGCTTGAGTATCTTGTGTGGATCAAATGATTACAATGCCAATAAAACCTATTTCAGTTCTAGGCTGTAACACAACAAAATGTGGAAAAGTAAAAGGGGGTTGAATACTTTTAGAAGGCACTGTATAGTGTAGCTCTGGGAATACAGATTCAGGCATATGATTTCGAATTTTACCATACATTTGTAACTTAAATTAAAAACTGTGTTTCTACTAAGGTAACAAGCCTAAAGTAAATTTAATAAACATGGCCGTGACTGTACAGCGCTCTCTCCTTCAGGTCTTTGCCATAGAGGTTGTGTTTTGCTGCGAAGTAGTTGAGAATGGCTCGTGTCTGCACCAGCTTCATCCCATCAATTTCTACCATAGGCACTTGCTGAAAGAGCAGGCTTCCATCTTTGAAATGAAAAAAAAAGTGGCAAGGATGTACACATTTAATTTTTTAAAGGTGGGAATTGAAGATATAAAATTATCTATTCTGGCACTGATTCCAATATATAGTGGACAAACAGATTTTTTAATTTAGAGAATCAATTACTTGCATCCTTGCAGACTCGATATTCTCTTATAGACTTACCATTACGTAATTTTTCCAAGTCTTCCTTTGTTTCTATAAATTGTTCTTCAAACTGAAACACAGCAATGAGACAAAATGGTTGCTGCCGCACATGATAAACAAGTCATGGATGATTTTGAAGGAAATGGTTATTTTACTTGTCCTTTTATCTTAATTTATAAGGAGCTGAGGATTCTTGGAATGTTGTGGAAAGCTGCAAGTTACAATGCAGCCTTTCATTTTATTTATCTCAGAAAGAATGTTGGGACGAAAATGGGCTCTTTTCTCTGGTTGCTTTTCAGTTGCATGGAGCGTCCCCCTTAAATTGCACAATTAAGATTTAAAACGCACAATGGTCCTTTGAACTGACAGTCAATCTCATAGGATTGTTGCAGGAAAAAATGGTGTGAGAGCCACATACCTCTGAGCTCCTTGGAGGAAGGGCAATGTTTACAGCTAATATATGACTCTCTGAGTTCTGGAGGGAAACACAGGATACAACTGCATACTGACGCTAGAGCATGATGCAGCTGTCAGATGGCTTTCTGGGATGCATTTTTAGACCACATAACATCAGTCTTACACCAGCCACACTAGCTCCCAGTTTGTTCCTGGACCCAGTTCAAACACCTGGTACTTCAATATGAAGATATAAACCGTTTTGGGCATGGGTATTTGAAAGACTGAATTGCCATTTGAACAGGCCCATCATCTTACTTCTTCACGTGCCATTATCATGAGAGACAAGGTTGCTGGAGACATGGGACAGAACCTTTTCTTTGGCAGTGTTGCCTCTCTTGGGAGGTCTGATCAGTCCCATCTTTACTTTGGTTTAAGTGGTCCACAAGGACAAATCTATTTGATGGGTTTAAACCCATAGTTTTAGACACGATGGATCTTTTCAGGATGGCTTTCTGTGTTGCTAATTTGACAATTTTGTTTCTTTATTTTTTAAATGTGGCTTTCACCATGCTGGTCCTTTTGTGCAGAGAAGATATTTAGAAATATTTTAACAGATGCATATATCTGGGGTGGGAGAGGGGAGAAAAACAGAATCGTTTTTGAAATAGCTAAGAGCACTTCCACACGGTGGTTTATGTATTATCAGGGCTGATCTTCAATAAAGGCAGGGGAAGGGAATATAGCCTTCTAGATGATCTGGCCTAAAACTCCTATCATCCTTCACCATTGACTATACTGACTAGGGATAATGGGATTTGTAGGTCAAAACATCTGAAGGGCCACATATTGCTCACTCCCCACTTAAGGAACATAGTTATTGTGATATTGAGCTAGTTCTGACGGATTAACTGTATGGCAGAAGATGGAACTGGTTTTAGTCACTAGTTCTTTCACCCAGGATATCTTCCCTCCTCCATATGGACGCACAAACCTCAACTCCAGCTGCTGCAAGGAGCCAGCGGATGGATTCCATTTTCCCTCTCCCTTCAACGTAGTGCAGTCTGGGTTTCCCAGCCATCCTTAGGCAGCCTTTTATTCAGTCGCACACAACACAGTGGGGCAAAACGGCTTCACAGATGAATACTATTGTGGGATGTCCTAGTGTGGAGATCGGAGAAGAAATGCAGGGGAAACCATCATTAAGCAAACAGGCTCATTCTCACAAGAGAAGTAAAGGAACCCCACCTTACAAAATGCAGCCAGTAATTGGACTGGTCTTCCTCAAGGCATCCTGAGAAGAATAAGCTGTCATTGTATGGCAGGATTCCTGTTCCTCCAACAGCTTCAGCACAGGCAGAATTCAACAGGTGCAACATCCACCCAGACCATTAAATTGGATGCCTGAAGTTTTCCGCGTTCCATACCTGCTTACCATGCAATTGTTACAGAAATAGGACTCCAGGTTGTAGCCTCATTCAGCATTCTGAATGAGCATTTCCTGAGAATGCTGAACCAGTCTCTGTATCCAAGCTCACATACAAAATTGGATCCTATACATTTGATGAACATTAAGAATTAGTTTAAATTTGCAGTTCCTAGTTCACTGATCCAGATTAAGAAGTCATGGGTGTAAACCTAGACTTGTGTACCACAGAATAAGTCAGTGGGGTTTACCTCTGAATAGACATCTGTACAAGTGCTTTGTGTGGGGGGCCAATGAGGGGTAATTGAGGCTACAATTCAGTGCATGCTTATCCAGAAGGACTTTCCATTGAATTCAGCAAGATCTCTTGCTGGTCTCAGGTCTGCTATGTGCTGGACTGTACAGTAAAGCCCATGATCAAAATAGCTTCAAAGGGTGGACTGGGTTGGCCCAATTGTTTACTCAGTAGGCTTTCAAGGAGGGTCCTCCTATGGATTGGCAAATGTTTAAAAAGAAAGCAAAGAGCAGGAATGCATCAATAGTTCTTGTGATGGAGGGGTGTAAACAGTGGGGTCTCCCAAGGATCTGAACTGGAATGGGCATTTTAAAATGTGTAAATAACTTACAAGAGGCAAGCAGTTAAGGAAGGTTCTCTCCAGATTGTTGGAATGGACATCAAAATAAAAAATTCAGTACCATATATACACTGATAGGATCTCAGCTGGCAGAGGCTGCCCAAGAAAAAGAACTCAGGGTTATTGTGGATAAGTTGATATAAATGTTGATCCGGTGTGTGGGAAAAAGGCAAATTCTATGTTGGACATAATTAGAAAATGAATTGAATTGACACTAAAACTGCCAATATGGCAATGTGTTATACAATTTTATAGTAAAACCACATGCCAAAGTTTGTGTGTAGCTTTGGTACTGTTTAACCTAAAAATTGTACAGCTGGAAAGAATGCAGAAAAAAGCAATCCAGAATAGTGGACTTTGCTTTTTTGTCACCCAGCTATTTCTCTACTCCTTTTTTCCAGGCAGTTTTTCACTTGCCTGAAAAACAGCCACTGCAGTTACAGTGGTACCTCAGCTCATGAATGCCTCCATTCACAACCAAATCGGGTCATGAAGAGAAATTTCAGAAAAAAATTGCCTCAGGTCGCAAACTCCATGTTGGGTGATGACCACAATTGCGGCCATGTTCCCGCATGAACACGATCGTGATCTCAGCCATCTCCCCCTGCCCCCCAGCACAATCGCAGCCATCTTTCCCTTTCGCAGTCGCAGACAGACCTGTGGTCACTTGCTGTGAAGCTTATTGAATAATTGCTCCAAAGAAAGTGCAGAGCAAGCATGGCGGTAAAAAAAGGTGACAAGAATGTGCAGATTCTTCATCAAAATTGACCCTGCAGCTAAGAGATAAAGAAGAGAGGAAACCCCCGAAAGAGATCTCCCCAGTGTCCTTATGGAGGGGGACTCTCCCTCCAAACAATAACCTCCCCCTAACCTAGGTTAGTGTTCTCCACTGTACTGTACTTTGTTACTTTGTTGTTCTTTGTTACTTTGTTTCAAATGTGTGTGTGTGTGTGTGTGTGTGTGTGTGTGTGTGTGTGTGTGTGTAT